TATGCAATCAAAATAATGCAGTATTCAATAACTTAAGCCTAAGTTAAGCCTATTATATTTATATACGCTTTATAACAACGAACAAGACGATCTAGAGATCTAAGGCTATATTTTTTAAACGACTCAGTTAAATAATCCTTTAGAAGCAGTGTGAAAATAAGTTCAAAATAATTTTGAAATCAAGTAATATAAGTTTAGTCGCGTTTCAAATCTATTCAAAAACAAGCTATATTACAGAAAGAAAAACTCAATATCGTTTGTAAAAGCTGGCCTTTTTCACTTAACTGTATCATTTAGTTCTTGGTTACTAGTCACTGGTTCTTAGAAAAAGGAAAACTCATCTAAAGAGAAAACACCTGCGTGCGAAACAGGTTTAACTTCAACACCAGACTCCTGTCGTGAACGTCCTTCACAAAGCAAAGATCGATAAGACGAAGCATGAAACACTGAAAAAAATAAATAAATAAACTGAGGAAGTAGGCCAGGTGGCAGCGGTTTTCGTCGTCTGAATGCGACCTCTCAAACAGTCGAAACTTCTACTTTGCATTTTTGAGAACAAAGAAACTATTATTATTTAAATTCATACGATATTTTTATGCATCATGATTCTAGAGACGCTAATAAACTGTGATAGACAACAGAATCTAGAACTGATACTCCCCGAATAAAAAGTCTGTCTGACTGCTCGACACTCACACTATATTTCTGACTTCCGAGGTCTGATAAATTAGGAGAAGGATGAGAATCAACTTCTCTCGTCTTGACTGGTATTTTATTGGTAACAGCAGTATTGTGCATATGAGATGCACTGTTTTCCTCACTCGTAGTAAACACCTGATCGAATATGTTACAACATCTCTCTTCATCACTACTAATACTACTACTGAAGCTAACACTATCACTCCGAGATCTGCCAGTTGGCTCTACGTCAAATTCGACTGTTTTCTCACTAACGTTTTTAATGTCACTATCAGCTAGAAGCGTGTTGGGAGGTTCAGTAGAGTGACAGACTTCCCGAATGTCTTGCTGCAAACATTTAATGGTATTGTTTATTAAAACAGACCTCTGCAGCAACTCCTCGGGATCTTTCATACGTCTTAATTTATTCACTGACATTTTTAACACTTTTCGGCGCTCATCTTTCAAGCGCAAGCGTGGATTCCACAAAAGAGGCACTCGACGGCGTGGTACATAGAGTAGGTCTTCAACTGTAACATCCTTATCATCCTGATGACGGACATCTTCAGAATAGAATTTATTTATTTCTTGCTGGGGTAGTCCATTCAACTCATGATTCTCTGTTTCATGTTTGTGACGTTTATTTTGACTAGTTCCCTCCTCCTCCTGTTTGAAGAGCCTTCTTTTGTTCTCCCCACTAGCAGAGTCTCCTGGTGTTGAACAGCTGTCTTCCCCAGGCCCTGCAAGTAATAAGATAAAAAATAAAAAATTTATAGGCCTACAATACAGTTTCGCCAGCTGCCAAGAGCGTTGACCTTGGTTTAAGTCTGGGTAAGGCCAGGTAATACAATGACAACGATATGTGATGATATAGTGGAATATACACTGTTAACGGAGCATACGGATTTTTTTTATGTTTAAAAAGTTAAAACTTTCACTTAATCATTATTTTTTGAATATTTAAGTCTTTGCGATGAACTGCAATCATAACCCTAACACACATTCTACATATCATGCCCTGCACGTGCCAGACCCCTCCCCCTTCTAACGATGACACCCACCCGCCTTGTTTTATATCCCAGGTCCAAACAAGGCCATGCTAAAAGACTATATTTAACTCAACAGACCAGCTCACAGTTGCGTGTGGGAAGGTAAACGCCGGACCCGGACACAGGAGTTCCCTGAACGCCTAGTGAATCCCAAGAACTTAACTAATAGTAACTTGGAAAACTTTCATGCTTTATAACAGACTCAGAATTACTTGAAAATAAAGCCTAAAGTTTATATTGGATAAACCATACTCTATAGAAGGTTTTTTTCTTCTTTTCTGTAAAACTTCCCACATTGCTTGATAAAACTATCGGTATCACCGCCAACAGTGCAATTATTTGAAACACTTTAGTAGACATGTTAAAAACAACTCTAGCGCTGTAGTTTTAATAATTTTTGTGCTTGTGAAAATATTCACTGGATTAATAAAATGTAAATTTTGTAACGTTTGTTTTAAACATTCCATGCTAGTAAAAAAAATACTCCAATTCTCTTTAAAATAAATATAAAAAATGAAAAATATTCATTATTGGGAAATCTCACCACTTATTGCTTTGTTGACATAATTGTTCGAGACCACCTGATTTTGTGTTTTCCACTTCTCTGATAACATAGATTCTTCAAAGTCCAGAGGATCACAGTCAAATCCACAAGGCATAGTATAGATCCTAGGTGTATCTGTCAGCAGTCTAAATTTGGAGATTGAAGAATGGCTAAAAATTGTGGATGATAGCACCAAGGTCATTGTGTGTTCTCCTGATCAGCAGATGCCGATTTCCCTCTACAAAACATCATGTTAGTACAGATAGTTGACGTTCTCGTATAAAACACTATCTCTCCCATGTACATAGGAAGCTTGGAACAAAGAGTTTGATTCACGCAACTGTCCTCATGTTACTCTCCACTTATCGTGAGTGTGGCGTCTGCAACCACGCGAATAGCGATGTTCATGTGTAGATTATCACCAGCGCCCTCTCGCAGTCATCCTGAACAACGAGAGACAATAGAGGAACACGAACTTTGCTACCGGTTCGTTGACAGGGGTAGAAAAAGTTGCTGTGTGTCCTTTTGGTGTCTCGCCTGTAGTTAAAATAAACAGACCGGTTTTAGCGAGAATCAAGTTAAGGACTTTTCTCACTTCTTACTATTGAACTGTGGCATGCTGACCTAGATTAAATGTTGCGCGGCAATATAACTTTATCGTCATTTAACTTTTGTGTATATTCAAGATATGTTATCTGCACATTTATTCACTGCTTTCATGGTGAATTTTTAAGATAACGTCCCTGCCCTACAGATTTATCTATGGAGCTCACTGTGGATTTTCACATCGTCCAAATAACTTCTATTCTCTGCATATTTATTCCTCGAGTTCGCATTGTTCATATAACCTATCGTTACTGTAAATTTATTTCCGGATCTCGTGATATATCCTCATGTTGTCCAAGTAACACCTCTTCTCTGTACATTTATCCCCAGAGCTAATGGTATAATCCTAACATTGTTCAAATGACCTCTTATTACTAAAGTTAATCCCTGGGTTTAACCAGATTAACTGTATTAATTACTTAAGCTTTGAACGCCAAACATTTGAAACTAACAGGCGTAAAGTTTGTTATCAAACCAATTCAAATGCAGATAAATGTGGGGGGAAAATCTGCAGCGTAGTCCATTATATATTTTTACGATTAAAATCTAAAGAAACAAATATTCAATTCGTAAATTTCGCATTCTTCACTTTGATACTGAATTTCGAAATGGTAGCTTAATATATTTATGGAAATTTTTAGAAGTATTTGTAATGTCGGTTTGGTTTTTCCAACACAAGCTAACGCTCACCCTTTAAACTGTCCAAGTGATGACAAAAGTGCCGAGTAAGCTAAAAAGTTAACCTTTAACCACTGTTGCTAAGTGATTTCACGTATTCCAGGTTAAGCGTTGATATTTGACTTTGGTCCAGTCTCAATGTCCGAGACATCTATAGACAGAAACACTACATAACGGAGATGACACAAAATGATTTTGAAATTTGTTTACTTAAAAACACCTTTTACCTATAGATTGTCTTCAGAAAATTTAAAAACACCGTTTACCTATAGGTTGTCTTCAGAAAATTTAAAAACACGATTTACCTATAGATTATCTTCAGAAAACTTAAAAACACCTTTTACCTATAGATTATCTTAAGAAAACTTAAAAACACCTTTTACCTATAGATTATCTTCAGAAAACTTAAAAACACCTTTTACCTATAGATTATCTTCAGAAAATTTAAAAACACCTTTTACCTATAGATTGTCTTCAGAAAATTTAAAAACACCTTTTACCTATAGATTGTCTTCAGAAAACTTAAAAACACCTTTTACCTATAGATTATCTTCAGAAAACTTAAAAACAACATTTACCTATAGATTATCTTATCAATCCACATTGTTGTAACTCTATTGTAAAAACATTGAAACACTCGGGGAAACCCCCTCGTGATCACGGACGATTGTGCTACTGCCCCATTAAGCACGCAGTAATTACAGCTGTCTGATTTATATGAACAAAAGTGTGACAGTGATTTTTAGCTACTATAGTAATACACGTTAAAAATATGCAATATGAAGGCGTGTTTTTTCCTTATAAGGAAATATTGGTGTACAGTGGACGAAACTTTATCATAAAACACATTTTTATAAGAACATTATGAACATATATGTTATATTATGTCGGAACCAGTTCTATTATAAAACTTTTTTATAACAGTTTATTACAATATAATGGACGAGATGTTAAGATTTTTTCTTATAAGAAATATTACAGTGTAATGTATCGGAGAAAATTTTGATAAAACATCTTTTTTTAAACTTGTTACTACTGGCTTTATACTAAAACGTTTGTAGCGCCGTGGACGTGATATCATACTTAAAGATAATTTTTGTCCAATTGTATAATAATTCTACTTATCTTCAATCACCTTAGAATTGTAGGTTTACAAGTTCCAATCGGCTTAGCTACAGGTCGATAAAAAAGTGTCTGCATGTTTGGGAGACAGCTTCGTTAGATTATGCTTACGCCATTGTTGCACATAAAAAGTGATTGTAGTATAAGGTATATAAAACATAATTACTCAAAGTGAAAACAAATATCATGCTCATATTTTCATCACACAGATTAATATGCAGTAAACAATTCTGTGATTGATTGACGCAGACTCGGGTAGCAAAGGTTACCTAGGGGTACTAAAGTTCATGGGATCAAAGGGTATGACCCCCAGAAAATGTGGCATTTACAGACTTCAAATAGACCAGTTCCTAAAATATACATAAAAAAAACGTGGACATGGCAACCTAAAATTACTAACCGCTTCCACCAAGCGTTGAACTGGAAGGCTAATTAATGTCCCCCTGTCTCCTGATATCTCTGCCTATGATATACCATTTACTTTGTGTGTAAAATAGTGTGTTTTTTTTACTGTTTCTATTAATAACATAAACAAACTTAATGCTTTTCAAGTCCGTTATATATCTACATACACATATTTTATATTTCACATCTTGTTTGTTTGTTTTGGAATTTTGCGTAAAGCTACACGAGGGTTATCTGCGCTAGCCGTCCCTAATTTAGCAGTGTAAGACTAGAGGGAAGGCAGTTAGTCATCACCATCCACCGCCAACTCTTGGGCTACTCTTTTTACTCAGTAATATTATATCTATATAGAAGAAGATACATTGACATACAACAGATAGTACTATTAAATTTATATAGAAGTAGTCACGTGGACATACAACAGATAGTACTATTAAATTTATATAGAAAAAGTTACATGCATAGACAACATACAGTACTGTTATATTGTTAAACTGTTATAGTGGGATTGACAATATAACGCTCCCACGGCTGAAAGGGCGAGCATGTTTCGTGGGACGGGAATTCGAACCCGCAACCCTTTGATTCTAAGCGGCAATAATTACAACATACTTATCGATTAAGTATAAAGAGTCCAACCTTTAGTTTTATATTATTATTATTATTATTGTCACTTTCATATGCTACCTGTCGTTTTTTAAGCAGGTTAGTGCTTATACCCATTTGGAAATGTCCAATATGGCTCTCATGGTATTAAAATGAAACAAATGCTAAACTCACTTTTGATTTTAGAACTTGAGATACAACATAAGTCATCGCTTTCGAATATCTATGAAATCAATGCTTATAAACGCGAAACCTATCAGACTTGTTTGTAACGAGCTGTAAAACTTGTTTTTCAACAGTTTTCAATGTAAATATATATATACATGGTGGTAATTTAGAACGATTTTGAGTGTCATGTTCTCCATTATTCTTGCTGTCTTTTTGTTGACGTTGTTGTTCTTTTTTCACCAAATACAGTATGACGACATGAATCTGTGAGTAGGCTTAGACAGAAAATGTTAAATTAGCTATAAGGAAAATAAAAGTTAGTAAACAGTTCGGCTATACGTCCTTGAGATATCACCACGCAGTGGCTGTGTTATTTTTGTCTTAGCTATTGAAAGTGCCATGAGCAAATTATCAACCCGGCAAGATTTCTTTCATGGTCTATTTTCTAATTGTTTATCTCTTAAGTATGATTTTTGTTATTGTTCTTTGGCGAGTGTCGACTAGCAATCTGGGGCTTGCGGGTACGAATCCTCATCACATCGAACATGTTCGCCCTTTCAGCAGTGAGGGCATTATAATGTTACAGTCAATTCCACTATTAGTTGATAAAAGAGTAGCCCAAGAGTTGGCGGTGAGTGATAAGTAGTTGCTTTCCCTCTAGTTTATCACTGCTAAATTAGGGACGGTTAGTGCAGATAGTCCTCGTGTAGCTTTTCACGAAATTCAAAACAAACTTTGGCAAATGTACCCGTAATAATGTTAAATGTGTTGAATATGATTCAGAAGAACCAGAAGACATATTAACAATATTACCTGGAAAACGTCTACATCTTTCTCAGAATCTGCCTCATCATATTTCTAAGTACAGTATGAACAGTGTAGAATAATGCAAACGTAATTTGCAACTTTTCAACGTAACCAACATGTAAAATAACCTGAGCTGCGTAACGAGTAATACAACAATATTTCAACTTATTCATGAACCTTCGACAATTTAAATTTTCTTATTAATTGTTAACCAGCGTTGTGTCTATACTAGTCTGTCTTGTGAATGAAATGTTGTTACATGTATATAAGTGGGTGATAAAAACCCACTTCTTGGCACTTCAACATACTTCACTTATAATTGTGGCTATGCATACAATTACTGAATATATACTTCACATGCAACCATTTAATTTGGTTTTACAGTTGGGACCTCAACACTTTCACTGCCACATGTATAGATGAACAACTCTTCTGGTAGTAGTTTCTTTTTTTAGAAACCCATACAGAAACACATGTGCTGTTGTATGACTACTTATATCTCTCTCATTGCTTGTCGAAACCACATGATTTTTTTTAGAGATAATTGCCTGAACCATTTCCCAGATAATTAACTTTTCAGACTGCGGGAAGTATTAAGTAAAATAATTATTCGTGTATTTTTTTCAAAATTTCCAAATTAATAAGCTACATATGTGATTTTTAAATTAATTACAAAATGACTGATTTTATTGCAGAGTATTTATTAGGGAATGTGTTTAATATTTCATAGTTTTCAGACTAAAACAAAGGTTATATAATATGTTTCATGGCAGTAATATAGAATGGGACATATATGTGCCTTTGACATATACGTGCCAAGGGTAATTATCTATGTGTCCTTCGGAGTGCTTTAGAGGGGGCCATGTATATGCGAAGGGTAGTGCTCTAGAAGAGGACATATATTTGCCCTTGGCAGTATAAGAGTTAACAGTAGAAACAGCTTTTGGAATACTCACTCGTCCATGAGAGGGGAAAAGACATATAGGATAAAAAAGATTGTTAAATCACATCAAAAGAAACGTTTTGTTGTTGTTGTTGTTGTTGTTTAATGTGC